TCGATTACCTACAACCCGCTATTGAAATCAATACATAGTAGAATCGCAAGGCAGAGGGGTATCTCCCTGGCATTCAGAAGATGCCCTTCTATATTTGATATTCTACGTAATGGAAAAGACAAATCTAAGGAAGAAAGAATGCCGGGGGTATATAGACTGCCACTTAGGGACCATCGTTTTGGCAAGGACTTAATTTACATAGGCTCAACAAAACAAGCTGTTGGAATCAGATTGAAAGAACACATGCGTGATATTCAACAAAATAAATGTACCACTTCCTTATCAACTTATGCGTCTGATCCAGAAATAACTGCAGACTTTGCAAATGCTAAATTAATTACCACCTCCTCATATTTAGACCATCTCAAATGGTTGAAGCAAATAGAAATATACAGGGCATACAGCACTACATCACCTATTAATTCCAGAGATGAGATCTCTCTCTCTTTGGCATGGCAGGCCCTAATACAACAGGAGGATTAGGTGAATCGTAGACCTAAAATTAAAGGAAGTAAATGGGTTATCTGAAATTATATGGTATTTTATGCTTTACAACAAAGTTATTCGTAAAATCTTTAAAAAAGATGGAAAATATTTAAATAGCTGTCGATATGACGTGGAACTGTGACGTTCACAGCTATAGGTCACGTGATTCCATTCTATCTTTTCGATTTTAAAAAATCGTTCAAAACGAATATTTTTCGTATTTATTAACTTTTCAAACGATTTTTACCTGAAGAAGGACCCAGGAGGGGTCTGAAAACGTTTGTACTATTAATTCTTATTTCACATCGGTTAAAGGTTTTTCTGAGGTGTGTATTATTTAAGTTAAATCCGATGTGCAGGTGATAATTATTATGTATGGAAATTTATGGGACACCCTGCATTATTGAATAGAAAGCTAAAAAGAAGTTAATTTAAGTTATATATAAATTTTTCTAAAATTTATTAATATAAGTGGTTATTTCAAAAATTTAAAATAACTAGTGACTTTTTTATCCAAAGAATGCTTTACATTTTACTTTTCATGTTTGGATTGTAATCATTACAATTTTAGTTAGCTTATACAACAAAAATTTTTTTCTACTTAATTATTTGTGTTAATTATAAACAACAATCAACATTAAATTAGTTTTAAAATTTAAAATATTTACCCTCAAATATTCTTAATAAAACATCAATTTTCTCTGCTGGATAACTTGCCAAAATTGTTTTCACACTCTGAAAAACGATTCATTGTATATTTATTGAGATTACAGGAAAATAAAACAAAAATTATCCATGAAAAATAATAAGTTATGAAATTAATTGTACAAACATTTAAATGAAATTTTTAGATTTACAATTAATATTATAATAAATAATAACAAGTCAGTAATAGAATTAAACTTCCATACTATAAAGTTCTACATTATAAATTTCTCTGGAATATTGAAAATGTACAGTACCAGATGTATCTTGAAAGCAATTCTAATGTTGTTCTCAAAGAGAAATCATTCTTATATAAATATTTATAGTAGTTTATATTTTATGTATTTTTAAAAAAATGCATTTGTAATTTCTCTTTAATATCCAAACAGTTACATTTAGACATAATGAACTTCAGTGCATTAAACTCATTCTACAGGGGTCCACAACTCCAAGGGGTCTGTGAGCTTGGATTGGAAAAAATTCTCATTATCTTTTTTCTCTCTAACCTCTTACTGAAATCTAACATTTCCTACACTTATGAATGCATGCAATAAATGATAGTAGTATCAGCTATATATGTAGTCACCAATAAAAACAACAGCTATTTTTATATCATACTAGCAGATGAGCCTGGCATTGCTTGGGAAAAAGCATTGATAGCAAAGATTAAGATTATTAGACTATAGCTGATATTACTCATTTTATCGAGTGCAAGAATGTCCCTTCTCTTCTGAGACTAAGTAGAAAATTTTTAGATATCTGCTTACCACACCGGGATAATGATAATTAAGACTCACTGCAACCACTAACCAGTGCATAGTACCACTAAGTGATGAATAAACATTTTTGTAACTCTTTCTGGGTTTTTCCTCAGGTTTACTAAATTCTAAAAATAAGCTGGATCTTCCAGAATCATTCATAAATATAAATTCAAACATAAAATTGAACATTTTAAGATGAAGAGTTTGAATAAAGCAAACTTATGCGCATGCACTCTTCATGTCAACTTTATATATGAAATGCTCACATACACGTGCACCACCTATCATAGGATAAATGTACTATGCCAGAAACCTTTGCGGGAGTGTATTAAACAACTTCCCATGAAACTTTGGGATAAATGGAATCGGATAAATGGTGTAGTAATGCATGAAGGACAGACAGAGAGACATACATTCATTTTTATATATATAGATTATAGTTGCATTTCTCTAAAATTGACATGAAAATTGAACCGTGGATCCATAATCCTTTTCTTTCTGATATAAACTGTATTGCAGATGCTGACTTAACAAAAAATGAACTTATTGATCTTAGGACAAAAAACTTACTACAGTTGGAGTTTAACTCAAAATGCCTTGGAGAATTCTGGTGTTCCCTAAGAGAAGCCTATCCTTGTCTTGTAAAACAAGCTATGGAAACTTTGTTTTCATTTGCAATAATATATCTTTGAGAATCGGGATTTTCAATACTTGTAATAATAAAAACAAAAAGTTGAAATTGATTTGATGTCCAACATAACAAGCATGTTGCCTTGTCAAATACCACACCACAGTTCGATGTTCTGATTAAATATAAACAACAACAATCTTCACACTGATATATCTTAAAAAAAATATAATTTAACTTTAGCTTTCCTACATTNATTATACTTAAATATCTAAAATTTAATTTTAGATCCCTACTTTAATTGATAAATTGCTGACAATGCCACCATCAAGTAAAGCAGGAAATAATGAAGCATTAAATTTACTACTTAAACGTCCATGGGATCCTGTAGCTTCACTTTTAAATCAGCATAAACCTGTAAGTTTTAATTATTTAATTTTATAGCTTACTGCCATGTGGCAAAGGAAAGATTCAAATGTAACTGATCATATTATTCCATAAGAATTATTAATTTATTTTTTCTCAATATAAAGTTTTATAGATTGAGATGCTAATTTAAAAATATTGTTTTAATAATAATAATAAACAAAAATATAAAAACTGTCTATTGGTGTTACTGGTAAATATGTGTAATTAGCGAGTACAAGCATATAATAATAATAATATGTGTAAATAAGAAGATTACTTACTATCCAAAAGATTAGTATGAGGACTACTTTTCATCCATGAGTTACAATAGGATGTTTGTAACTTAGTCCACAACACATCATTTTTTAACAGAGGATAAAGTGCTAAATAAGATTTTTAAAAATAAAACAATAATTTAAGTAAAATCATTTTAGTCAATTAAAATCAAGCAAAAGCAATTTTATGAGGTTGCATTATCATATATGATATGACAATTAACATATGTATATATTAATATAAAAATATGCAAAAATGACTTGTTTGAAATTGGCACGAAAATTTAAATGGTTATCGATACTTAAACCAGACAATGCTTGATAAAATTATTTTTAATGCAATAAATAAAATCAAAATATTCTTATTCTATATAATAATATATAGATACCAGATCTGTCCACAAACATATTCAATTTTATATCTGAAACATAATAAAACGTTCCTAAATTTTCTTACTATTTAATCAAAATCTTAAAAGAACTTCTTATAAATTAGTAAATCTCTGGTTGAGCGACACATAGTTTGATGAATTACATTTTACAATATCTACAGAATCTATCTGACATTTAGCATTTGTGTAAATAATGAAGAATTCCAACATTTATCATAAATTTTAGGAGATAAATCACTTTTCATTCACAATAATAAGAGAATTATTGGAAATTAAAAATATATTTGTAGTCAATTCATGGTTCTTGAGCTTTATTTAATATCTTAACTTTTTTAACAAAGTTTTAATATGAAAGATTTTGAATTCCTACTCATATTAATACATTGTATTTTTAATTTTCAATTATATTTTTTAGTAATTTTGTTCTTATTCTAATGTTGGTTGTATATTATACAACCATTATTTGTAAAATAAAGATTATAGTAGGGTCCAAAATTCAATAAAGCAATACTATATATATTTAAACAATTGAGCCATTCACATGCAAAATCGATTAACTCCAATAGTATCCTTTGTATTACTTTTACATTTTTCATATAACTAATTTCGTATATCATGCATTCTACAATGTTTATTTAAATTTAAACAACATATATTATAAATTTCTCTACTTCTAGTTTTATGGAGTTAAATAATTTCAAAAATGAGGGGCTCAATTATTAAAATATGTTCACAATTTGAAGCAATTTACTGACTTGTAGACTATCTGTGTTCTGTTGTCTAGTTTTTAACTTAATTCATGATAAAATTTTATTTAATAGACACAATAAAATGACAACTTTTAAAAGTAATTTTCTTTTAATTTAGTCCAAAATGTTTTTTATAAATTGATAAATAGTAGTTATAAAAATATATAAATTTAATTATTATGAATAAATTTACTGAGTTAAAAATATCATTGTTATTTTTTTATAAGTTCATAAATTTATGATCATGGTAAAATATTAATGTGTAATAATTAAAACATTAAAAATATTGCCAAAATTTTTTGTATTTGTGTTTAATTCAGCTACATTCTAACGAATATATCTGAATAATTAAAAATATGTTACCTTTAATGTCTTGAGTGTCTTCTCCATTACTATTTGTATCACAGAATCTTGGTCTTAATTTTGGTTTTCCTTTCCATTCTAATTTTAATCATTTGAAACAACAGTATAAGAAAAATATCCAACTTCTCTCATTATTATTCTGTTCACACTGCCAAAGACAAAAATATGCAATTTTGTCATTTGTTAAATTTGACAGCATGTTCATATTGATTGATAATCTTTAATAGAACACTTTTTGTCATTGTTCTTTTTTGTTATAAATTGACAAAATTCTGCATATTTCTTATTCTCAGTTTAGCATTATACTAATAGTTCAGAATTCTATGCAGCCAAAATATGCAAGAAATGAGATTAAAACAAATTATCCTAATACATGTACGATACATAACTGTATAATATGAAAGGTAAAAATTTATAAAAGGGGAAAAGTTTGTATAATATTCGATAAGTTGTTACTTATGTAGAGCAAGAAATACTTCATTGAACTTATGTAAAATGTGTAAATACAATGTGTAAATTAAAATTCAATAAGACTATTCAAAAAATTAAGTGAAGACAATACTTAACATAGTTTTCACTAGTTTTTTTCCTATACAATAGAAATATTTTGAACTTTGAATAAAACATTCTATTATTAGATGTCATGAATTACCTCTAAATATAAAAAACTGCAGAAAATTTTCTATTGTAGGCTCTGATAAAAGTTTGTAAAACAAAAGTTATAACATTTTAGTGTGATGCGTAACATAATAATTAAAATATGTTTGTTTTAGCATCTATTTTAATTTACTACAAAAAACATACTGAATTTTACAATTTATAATATGAAATACTGAAAACCATTATTAATTTGTAATGATCATAATCCTAATATATTGTACTAACTGTTACCCATGACTTCGTCCATGCAGATTTTGAAGAAAACCCCATTTATATTCGGTATTTCAACAACCATAGTAATTGTTATATAACAACTACTGCTGAGAATTGCTGAGAATAAAATGAACTATTTTCAATTTGATCAATTTTCTGGAATGTTTACAATTGTTCTATAATCGAACCAATATGCAATAACAAATTCAAATTTAAAACGGTTCGAACATTTGGTTAGAAAATCGAAATATATAAAAAAATTNATAAATATTTTAAATAATATAACAAATAAAATTAATTTGTAAAAGTCATTAATTATATATCAGAAGCAAAGTTATTCTTAAATGTAGTAAAATTAAAATTAAAATAACAAATAAATGTTATTTATAATGTTACAATTAATTTTCAGTAATTAAATTATTGTGTATATGCACTGTAGTGTGTTAAATAAAATGCATATTTCATACTACTGGTTTGGTCACTGAATATATAACATTTAGTGCCTTATCCAATAGTTTGTAATATATTGTACATCATTATTTCTTGAATATAAATATATTATTTTTTAAACTTAATTATTAAATAACTATATGTATAATTAAATGTAAATGTGTATATAAGATCTTTTCATGTTAGTATATGTATATTTTTACTTTTTGAAAAATATTTTCTTAATTTTTGAATATAAATTAGAAAAAATTATTTTATAATGCCATCATTTAAAAGATGAAAGTATATATTTTATGACCTCATAATTTTTTTGTAAATGATTTTATAATACTATTGGTATCTATACAATTTAAATTTGTTTTTAATGAATGTCTTGCTACTAAATCCAATTTTTATTTCATAACTTCATACATTTACAAAACAACGTCATTTATACCTTGTGGCCATATATATCTTAATTACAAAATTTTCTCTTAATTTTTCTGTAAACAAAGAAAAGCAAAGTTTACCTAAGAAACCTGCATGCTTCATGGAGTCCACAAGAATTGTGATATGGATCTTCTATATCAGGATCTATACCATAATCTAACATAAGACGAACAACATCTTTATGACCTCTGATACAGGAATCAATAAATGCTCTACTTGATGTACGAAATGCAGGTTCATGATCCAACAGCAAGGCAACTGCATCTGTAAAATTTAATTGATGAATTTACTCCATTATCTAATGCCAATCTTTATTTTGCAATAATTTCAAAATATAATTAAAAATTTCTGACTAATATTAATTAAGAACTAATATGTGAGGTCTGAATGCACCACTTTTTATTTCTGTTTTATTTCTTGTTTATTGTTGTAGAAAGATTAAACAAAGAGAATATTGTTAATGTTACACTGTTAGAAATATTTTACATTTCTAACAGTGTAAAAATGAGAAAAAAAATGTTGTTGTTAAGAGGAATACAGTTCAAATGAGTTAAAAGATAGGTCTAATCATCTCGGACACATCATTCATACTTTTTCCTGCAGCAACACTTTAATATATGGATATTTTCAACCACATTTAGGGGGCCTGTACAGGTTTTAATATTGACCAAATCAAATGTCTAACAAAATAAAAGTTTTGAACAACTTTCCTGTTCTATTGATGTCAGAGGACCTTTGAAAATAGATATCTCCCAACCATATACATATGTAGATAGAATTACATAAATAACAAAATCAATTAATTAAATAAATCCATATTATATAATTCTAATTAATCACAGTAAATTAAATTATCATCAGTATTTAAGTGTTAAATATTGTATAAATATTGTCATTGACATACATAACACTAAATTGTACAAAAAAAAAACATGTTAATTCTCAAATTTTGAAGATAAGAATGAATCAATAAAATAGTTTTTGCCTCAGCAATTGGTTTAAGTTAATTCTTTATTGTTAAAAATGAATATAGTCATTTGTAATTTTTATTTACATCTGAAATTATTAAGATGATTAATTACAATTCATAGGTAATGAAATGAGAGGAATTATATATATTTCTATTGTTAATATTATAAAAACAAATTTATTTTATGACTAAATGGAAATTTCAACACATTACCTATGCGACCATACTGTGCAGACAGATCAAACGGAGTAGCTCCATCTTTATTTTTAGCTAATAAATCTGGTTGAGCCTACAAAGAAATTCTATTATTAATAGTATTATTTTCATTATTACAGTACACATTAATATAGAAAACAAAAATTATCTTTCTCACTCAGAAAAGAATATTGACTTATTCAGTATATAGAATAAAATCAATAAGTTATAAAATAATTAATTTCAGAATATATTATTTTATTAGTGTTATAATTATATTTAATATTTAAGTTTATTATTAAAATTTAGTCATCTTACCCTCAATAATTTCAAAAGAATGAACTTAGTTCCTGGTATACAGTTTTGGCAAGCAATATGGACTGGTGTATTTCTATCATGGTTGAAAGTATCTACCTATAAATCAAGAAATTTTAACAGTCAATAAAAAATATACAATACAATAACATTTTATTTAACTGTTAGGATAAATCCTTGTAGAAGGGAAGATTCAGAGTTTAATTGAGTTTAACAATAATATGACAGGTAAAATATTTTAGATGGACTGGTTGAAGTGTTCCAGGATACTATGAAATGATAAGATATTGATTAAATCAAGGTTGCAGGATGCACAGTGCTGATCAAGAAGATAATTTTGGAGTTGAACCTCAATGAGTAGAGGTTTAGACAGAGTTATATTAGGACACATTTATGTGAGTGACTGAAATTAGTAAAGATGTATGATTGAGAGCAATATTCAGACAGACTTTGAATGTACCATGAATGATGTATACACTGCCGGCCCGAACAAACTCAGCGCCCTAGGCAAATGAATTTGACGTCGCCCCATTTTAAAAAATTGAAGACCGTTAATCATGATTTAATATGTAGCACACAATATTGCGATCGTGAGACTACGGCGCTACTTTCAAAATGGTCTTCATGTGTTGACCCATGAGACTCACGTGTCAACACATAAGAAAGGATTATGATCAAAATCATTTATTTTTTCATTATTTATTATAATTTATGCATGTACTTTTGCCATGCTGCCTCCCAAATTCAAGTGCCCTAGGCCATCACCTAGTTCACCTATATGAAAGGGCCAGCCCTAAATGTATATAAAGTGACAAAGTGATTCTGTCTTTAGTAGTTGACTGGGTTATGGTGTTATCGATGATTAGGAATGAATAGGGTTCCAGTAAGTCTAAGACTTTAATAAAATATCAAGAGTGATACTAAATTGTTTCAGTATGATGTTAATTAAAAAGTACCAATTGAGAGAATGAGGGTTGTTGATTTCAAAGATAAGATTTTTTAAAGTAGCAAGGTTCATGCTGCAAATGGAGTTTGAACTATTTTTTAATCTTTTAATGAAGTTAAGGATTTGTTTCAATAGGACTGATTAAAATATGGTCCTACGAAGTTTGATCCTTATAATGCACCTGGACACCAAGCAGTCAAGTTTGAATAGTTTGCAAATAAAAATGCATTGAATTTGCTCTGTTTCAAATGCAGGGAGAGTATATGAAAGAGAGCTGAAGGCACTACAATTGAATAGTCTAAAAATGACTTTAGGATCAAGTTTTTCATTTTTTTTGCAAAACAAAGAAGATATTAGGAATAATCATAGTACAATGGTTGATAATTTTCATAAGATGTTATTAAAAGCTAAATATACTGAAGATGTAGATGCCTAAATATTTAAATAAGGAACAATATCCAGGTTGATGGGACTTAAGAAAAATTAATCATTTTTCCTCACTCTAGGACCACTCCTGAAGATCCTGATTTTGATTTCATTATTGAAATTAAATTGTTTATTGTTTAATTATTAGAATAAATATATTTTTGACAATATCTCTTATAATAATAAAACAGAACAGATAGTCATTAAACTATTTCAAACAAAAATATGATTAGATACAAAAATAGATATGCCTAATAGTATTTGTTATTGTTGATACATGATATTATGTTATCATTAAAACAATACCAGATAAAAATAAAATCTAACTAAAAATATAAAAATATTGTTTAAATAAAATTTTTGTATTCTAACGGATATGCATAAAATTGCAAGTTTAGAATTCTAAAATCATGTCTCAATTTCTGTTTGAACTGGATTTTTAAAATTTTTAAATATGTAAATGATTTTCCATAAAATCTATTTACTATTTCATAAAGCAAGTATACAAGATACTTTGATATTATACAAATGCTTTATTCAAAAACTACAAAGTAAAATAAATATAGAGAAAATAAAAAAGTAATAATTAAAAATACATACAATGGGTGATTGGTTAACGAACAAATCAGATAACAAACACTTTCGCGAAAGTTTTTATGTTTGGACAACGAACACATGATCGGATAATGAACACCTCACAGAACAAACACAGAAGAAGCAACATAAAATAATGAATACCGATTGGTCTTTCCTTGTCTTTGAGCAACAATTCGAAACTTTTCGGAGTGCGGGAGACATCAACATTGACGCTCAACCCGATACATACCGACCGGATAGTATTCCTCCAAACTTTGAAATTCTCCCTTGAAATTCCAGCCTTTTATTTTTCTGACAAAAACAATTCTTTTATGTATTTGCGAGACTGTCAGGTAGGCACTCATTAAGTTTTGCATCTGTTTTTCTTTTCGAAAGGTGAGAGTGGGCAGAAGATGCCTAATGTTGCTGGCAGTATGGAATGAACAGGTCTACAGTAGGCTGAAGTTCAATCTTATTTAAGAAAGATACTGTATAATCAAGAAGATTCAAGCTGCTAAAGGAGTAACAAAAATCACATCTGAGAAATAAAGAACATCAAAGAGTTCATAATGGAACCTAAAACGAATCTGATGACAGAATAACGCGAAGAAATTTGGCAAGATATGTTTTCTTCTGAAAAAGAGGATTAATGACAATATCTGCTATTAAAGATCTTTTGAAGAAGTGGGAGGATATCAGAACAACAGTCTTAGAATGGCATCCAAACCAAGTTGAGTCTTGGGGATTTCTACAATTACAATGCTATTAATTACTTCTGAAAAATCCTGAAGAAGAGAGAAAAGCAATCGACATTAGACAGATTCTTTAATCCTTTCAAACAGAAAAAACATGACTAATAAAAATGCAAGACTGTATATGTACGTATTTTTATTATTACATATGAATAAACGTAGTAAGAAAGTATATAATTTTTATTTTTGGGGGTCTCCAGGATGAATTAATTAAATTCCCATTAAAACCTATGGTAAATTAATAATCGGTTAACAAACAATTTGGATAGCAAACAAAGTCTTGGAACGGATTATGTTCGTTAATCGACCATCCACTGTATTCTAAAAATTAACCAATCATTCTTATATTATATTATAATAAATTCTGCACATTTTAAATTAGTAATACTCACTTCAGCTCCACATTGAAGCAGCAATTCAATCATATCAGATCTCCCATTGAAAGTTGCTACATGTAATGCAGTGTTTCTTAAATAAACAAAAAAACAGGAATATTGAAAAATAAATATTTGCATTTTTTAAATCATATGAATAAAAAAATATAAGTACAGTATATACAAAAAGAAATAAGCATTTTTGAAATATTACAAGCAATTAGAGAGTATAAACTTAAATATACATAAGTAAACAAAGATCATTTTGTACTCCATCACTTCCTATAAGTAAGAACTATTGTTTTTAAAATATACTTAAACTTTTAACCATTTATACTCTTAATCTGTAGAAGTAAAACAATGAAGAAAACATAATATTTTATTAAAAAAATACATGAAGGGTCTATTAATTCTTTTAACATATTAACAATCATTAAATGTTAAATTTTATATTTCTTTATCTAGTCCAGATTATAATTATAATGAACAAATTTTTTTCTTACCCTTTGTTATCTCTAGCATTGACATCTGCATTAAAATGAATAAGGAGCATAGCAAGTTCTCGATTACCTAAAATTAAAAAAGTGTAAATATATATATACATATTTTACAAAATTCTATGCATGTTTATAATCCATTGAAATATTACTGTCATTTAAATATGCAAAATATTCACAAATATATTGAATATTTGCTGGTATTATGATAATAAACAAATACATATGCAGATTTTGTACATAATGTACTGTACATATGCAGATTTTGATACGATAGTATTTAAAACATTTAAGTCTATGTGTTTCTTTACTATATTCAGAATTTGAATATGGATTTCTATGCATTTGGAGCTAGAACTATTTAAAATGACTAAGACACCTTTGTTTTTGTTTTTGCCGAAAACATTTGTGGGCAAACAAATGTTTTCGGCCTTCTTCAGGCACACTATGGTCTGTACCTAAAGAAGGCCTATTAAGAAGGCCAAAAACGTTTGTAATCAGTGTTTAAACTGCTAGAAACAAAGTGAGAAAGGTTTTGTCTTAGTCATTTGAATATGGATTAATTCCATAAAGTTTATCTATTATTCTGTAAATTCTCTCATTTCCTCACAGAAATATTTTTTATTTTGGTTGCTATATTTCAATAAAACTAGATTCCTTTAAAGTTTATGTTTTGCATTTAAAAATATTTTTCTGAAAAAGGATCTGTGACCTTCACCTGACTGGCAAAGAGGTCCATAGAACAAAAAAGGTTAAGAACCCCTGCTCTATACTATTTATGATTAAACACTGTTTAACTGTGGTGTGTATTAAAGAATTTAAAGAAATATATTTAACATTGCTACTGTGTGGTACTCTTTACAATGGTGTCTGGCTGGCAATAGTTACAGAAATAAGTTAGTTACTAAATTGGTTAAGATACTATCAAAACAGAAACTAAAATTGTTTTATTCATTCAATTTTAATATCTATATAATAAACTTTTGAAACTTTATTAAATTGGGACCATTGTACATAAAAAAGAAACTGGTACATAGAATAAATTTAAGAATTGATAAAAGCTTCATATAAACAAAAAATTCAACTATTATATTTCCTGGTCTTAATTTATAATCTAACTACATTAATATAGTATTAAAATTTATTCATAGACATTAAAATTATATGAATAAGAAATGAATGCTTATCCATATAATTCAAAGATGATCATAAAAATACATGAAATTTTTTCTATGTATTTTCCCCAAATATTTTAAAAATCTATAAAGCACACTATTTGTCAAATTCATTTTTTAAATATTATTGTTAAATAAATTATTTATTGAAATTCTGTAAACCATTACCAAGAAAAATGATTAAAACATTATGTAATTTAAATATTATAATAAATATAAAATTTAAACATTGTGTAATGTAAAAATAATTTATCTATAAATAAATTTATTATAATTTAATCCTTTATTACACACTATATATATCTTTCTTACAATCATGACAAAGTTTAAATCATATTATACTGTATTTGAAATAGATTTTACCTCTTCTTTGCTGTTAAATTTTTCAGGATCTGCACCATGAGATATTAACAGTGTTACTACATCAATTCTATAAATAAAATTATTTTATTAAATATATCTGCTGTAGACTTTATAAATTATGTGACTTCATATAACTATATGTAATTACATTGGGATTATAATAATTATTAAAATTATGACTTAATATCTTTCTCTACTATTTAAAACTGGTACATATAAACCATAAAATAACATTCCTTTAATACTTTAAATCTCCAGCACAGTAATTTAATATCTTAAAGTCCAATTTAAGGTATCTAAGGTGTGTTATTTTATGGATGGACTTAAGTGGTTAAATGATTGACAATCAGTTCATANTATTATAAACATTTATAAGATATCATAACAAATAAATAAAATTATTTTATTAAATATATCTGCTGTAGACTTTATAAATTATGTGACTTCATATAACTATATGTAATTACATTGGGATTATAATAATTATTAAAATTATGACTTAATATCTTTCTCTACTATTTAAAACTGGTACATATAAACCATAAAATAACATTCCTTTAATACTTTAAATCTCCAGCACAGTAATTTAATATCTTAAAGTCCAATTTAAGGTATCTAAGGTGTGTTATTTTATGGATGGACTTAAGTGGTTAAATGATTGACAATCAGTTCATATTATCATTAAATGATATAAAACTAAGTATTGATAGAAATATTAATAAGTAGCAATAATTCTTTCAATCTTTGACATTCTAATAAAGTATGANCAATAACAAATTCAAATTTAAAACGGTTCGAACATTTGGTTAGAAAATCGAAATATATAAAAAAATTTATAACAATGTTTAAATGTTATCAATTTAATACACCTAAGTACTCAATGAAGACTAAACATAGTTGAAAACAAAAAAATCTCATCTAAAATACTACAGTAGAAGTCATTCTTCAGGTTAAGCCTTAATCCTCTCCTTCTCCCTGCGGAGAGAATTTCTATTTGTTTATCTGGAAACAATTCAATTTAAACATAAGAATTTTACATATTAAAATTAGTTTTCCTTTATTTTTAATATTTTTAAGTTCTTATAATTGAAACTCTATTCATAAAAACTGCTGTTTTACTCTTTATATTTTTATCTAAACATTTTTGTATTCCTAAAATCATCTTCAGGAATAATACTAACAGTCAATATAAAAAGTTACACAGTCATTAAGAATGATACCTTCAGAAAGATGTATTATTTTTTGATAAATGGTTAATATACATCCTCCTTTCACATAAAACTGTCTAGTTTGCCTTCCACAACTGTATATTTTCATTATTAAAGTTTTAAACTCTAAAGAAGTAGTTTTTATGAATAAGTGAATACAAGAGTTATTTGGTTGTTTTTTTTTTATAATTCATTGTTTAAAATGTAAAATGCACATTTTGTTTTAAGCATTTTATGGTTAACATTCAATGTATTCTACATGGAAAATCATAATGATATCGATAAGATTATAACATTAGTTTTTATTAATTTAAAAAGTACAGAATCCCAAATACTAGAATTAAAAAGCAAAAATTAAATTAAGAATAATCTACAAATAAATATCTAAGAATATTTACAAACATATTTGTACTTTAAAAAGTCAAAATATAATTAATCATCCATAAAATAAACTAATCATATAGTCCAATAAAAAAAAAGTAGAGATGCTTACTGATATCAATCCAATAAATATGATAACTACTATCAAGATGATGATAACTACTATCAAGAAAAGAAAATAAAGATCAGACATCAGTTTGTAAAATTAACTGATTCCAATATGCTGATATATTGGTATCAAATAGGTATCAGTTACATCTCTAAAAAAAAAAATAATAATGTCAAGATAATGATAATTTAAAACATGTTTTAAATGACAACTATGTTAAAAAGAATGCAAATCAGAAAATTATTTGGAAATAAACAGCTATTATAAACATTTATAAGATATCATAACAAATAAATAAAATTATTAAAAGTAGTCAGGTTAATTGAAAATTAAATATCTATCAAATAAAATGAAAAGAACTTGGCAGAATTTATGATATCAAATAGATAATTTGTCAAAATTATAATGGTCTCAGTCAACAATGTTGAACAACACATACAAAATGATTATTATTCAACCACAAAATACCTGTAACTAGATATTTGGAATATGTAAATCTAAAGAATATTTCAAAAGAATTTTATCTAATCAGTTTTATCTAAAGAAAGGTATTTGGGAAAACTTTCAGAATAGTATATGTCTATTATGACAGATTGAATAGAAAGAAAATATGTAATAATTTGAACAAAAATACATACCTTGGCTTTGAGTAAATGTGTAATTTGTTAGAAATTAAAAAATAAACCATTTGACATAATTATTATTCTTTTTTTATTTTAAAAATTTTATATTTACTGAAATGATTATTTTAAAACTAATGAAGGAAACAATCACTTAAAAATAAACTTAATCTTCAAAATAAAGAAAAGGCTGAGCTAAAATAAGCAAAACAATAGTTAGTAGTATAAAGATAAAAGGTTTCAGTTACATCTCTAAAAAGAGAATGTCAAGATACAGTTTAGATATTCATTTAGAATGTATCTAAATGAAAAATAGCAAAAATTTAAGCTAGACTAAGTGTAGATAAGTTTAAAATTTAGTTTCTTTGACTTTGATAAATGGAATAATGGAATCAGAAGTTAGACATACAACCAGAAAAAGAATAGAGAAATTATGCATGAAAAATGAAATTTAAATTTGACATAAATCAAATAAGACTTATCAGCAATAAGATAAATTTGAAGATAATTGTTTCAATAATTTCTTCTCTTAAGAATAGGATTCAATGAAATTTTCAGGGGGAAAAGTTATAGAAAATATCACAGAAATATTGTTGAAATTGAAAATTATATATATACATATATATATGTTTAATGATCGCTTCAGGTCTTTACTACTGGTAACATCTCTATTCAATTGATTTTAGACATGTTGAGACAAAANTTACTTTTTGAAAAATATTTTCTTAATTTTTGAATATAAATTAGAAAAAATTATTTTATAATGCCATCATTTAAAAGATGAAAGTATATATTTTATGACCTCATAATTTTTTTGTAAATGATTTTATAATACTATTGGTATCTATACAATTTAAATTTGTTTTTAATGAATGTCTTGCTACTAAATCCAATTTTTATTTCATAACTTCATACATTTACAAAACAACGTCATTTATACCTTGTGGCCATATATATCTTAATTACAAAATTTTCTCTTAATTTTTCTGTAAACAAAGAAAAGCAAAGTTTACCTAAGAAACCTGCATGCTTCATGGAGTCCACAAGAATTGTGATATGGATCTTCTATATCAGGATCTATACCATAATCTAACATAAGACGAACAACATCTTTATGACCTCTGATACAGGAATCAATAAATGCTCTACTTGATGTACGAAATGCAGGTTCATGATCCAACAGCAAGGCAACTGCATCTGTAAAATTTAATTGATGAATTTACTCCATTATCTA